TGATAAAGATGTTGCAAGTGGTCTTGAGGTTGGTCAGTTCATATTTTATTCTACTTTAATCTGGAACATATTGAAATCTTCCATTTTTTAAAGATATTCATCGGTGAAGAGTCTGACGTAGCCCGGAGTCTTGATCGTCATAGCGTACTTTCGTTTCTGCGATCTCACTGTGTTGCAGCCGTCATTCCTTATTTGGTGAGCGTATAGTCTTAAGTGTTCGTTTTATTCAAAAATTCATTGTTTTCTCTTTTCGGAGCTATAGCTTCCGTTGGAATATTCAAGTAATACGTTTCAGTATTAATTATGCTAGAAGTATGATCATCAACTGTTAGACGCGCGATCCTCGCAGCACGACTTCAATGTTGATACCATTACCCGAATTTGCCATCTTTTAATTTCCTGACTAGACTATTTTTTCCACTTTTACTTGGTTGGTCAGAAGAGTCCATCGTTAAATACGTACCACCATACACTCGATGCACCTTTTCCTTAAACCCTACGACCCTATACCCTGACTTTTCAACAGTATACGGCGGCAAGTCTGAAATTTTGGGGTCTTGAAAATCATGCTCTACCTGACCACAGCTGTTTTGCAATTTTGCTTCAAGATCTATTGTAATACTCCGACAAAGTGAAAAATTAATTTGCTATTCTAATATCTTTAGAGTTCAATGAAAAGCAATTTTTGCTATTTCTAAAATTAGTTTTCGTCGTTTGTAGGAACACATTATTTACAAATGGGATGAAACCCGACCTAAGTTCCACGACCTTCTCGCAGAACATTATATCATCAAATTGAAACTACTCCACCAAGATTACGAACACGCCTTTCCGGACGGTATGTGTAAACTGGTGTAGTCTGAACGTTAGCGTTACGGTGTGTTTATGTTTCACCTTATAGATGAGAGCATTAGTCGGGCTGGAGATGAGGATGGCGAGTTGGGAGAGATGCGGCGTCGGCTAATAAAATTCTTACGATTTTCACTCCACTTTAGCCCTCAGGCTGTGCTTCTGCAGCTTAGCAATACAGGTGAGTTCTTCTTCCAACTTCTTTTGCCAGCCGACTGTTTCTTGTCCGTTCTGCACGAAAACGTATGGCATCGTTTGGGTTAAGGAGCCGAAGAGCTGACCCCATAACAGCTTCTTTACTAGTACCACTAATTTGGCAAAGAATTTCGAGTCTGAAGATGTGGCTGGTCCTCCTGAGAGTGTTCCATTTGACTTCAGATGATGTTAGTTTTTTGCATAGATGAAGACGTTTTAGCGTTCTACGAAGAAAGAGCGCTGGTTCTTGGTCGGCTGAAACATCATGAACAGGTCAGTGTCGTTAGGGACTTCGATCCTACGCCGAGACTAAGAACTTTGTAGATAAATTATGATTTTTTTAGGCTTTGGCTATCTACACGTCGATTTTGAATGACTTCGACGCAGCCGAGGAGTACTGTAAACTTTATTATGACGAAAGCGATGAAGCAAATTCACAGGTAGGTTGCTAATATTTCTGTAAATGAGACTGCATGGAGGTGCCTCGTTTGTGATTCATCGTCAACCACTCGATAGGTGTGCTCAGCAAGATTCTGCAAGTGATGCGTTTCACTTAAAATTTAAACTTTAGGTCTATTTGCAACTTTTTCGGGCTTTCATCAACCCATCCGATCCAATTATTGCTGGAGTTCTGGAGAAAGAATTGCCAACACCTGAACCCGATATTCTCGATGCTATTCGGGTGTTGAGTAGGCATGCCAACAAGATTGATACAGGTTACTGATGTGAACTTTCTCAATCAGTAATAAGTGCTAACAGGGTCTCGATTTTGTATTTTATTGCATTACAATTCAGTGTATGCTCTTCAACTTATTCCTCCCGACACGCCCCTGTCAACACTATGGAAGGCTCTGCACGCCGTTCTACAAACTACTCATAATGATGCCTGCGCGGTCAGTTGTGTTCACTTCAAGGGTTGAGTAATTGTGTAGATATGGCCAGTGTTTTTGAAATCAGCAGAGACACTACTCGGGAGGAAAGTAGTAAACTTGCGACCCGAGAAGCGAATTTGGATGGGTTACATTCCTCCGTAATCACTCTCCTTGGTGCTTTAACCATATTCATCATTCCAGCTTGCTTTACGACGGTCAGTGTGCGAATGTGGTCTCGAGTCCCATGAAGCGAGGCTCCGCAATATTCTGAGTCAAAGAATAGTTGTCGGAAATAGCAGTGAGTGCTCGAAATGTGGGAAACGGATTGGTAACAGGTAAGCAAAGTTATAGTAAGTCAATCGTGAAATATACAAACGCCGATTCGTTTAGTGCCTTCGTCCGGTATCCTACGGATGGCTCTCTTGCTCACTTCGGATGTCATAATGATTCAGCTGAAAAAAATCAACTGTCGCGGTCTGTCGAATAATGATCTTGTTGCAATATTACTAATTCAAATTGTGCTGGGCAAATGCCTGCTCCTATTCGATCTTTTAGTATGAGAATACGGAATAACGAGACCACATAGAAGCTGTTTGTTTATTCGTCTGTTCTTAGCAATAGTGGCTAGAGTGCGTGAAATCGGGTTGGATTTTGACAAGAAGGGTAATTACGGTGGGTATCTACCGCGACAAAGACCCAGTGTAGTGACAACACGCCGTTCTACTGCACTGGGCCTTTATCACCGTGGGAACCTATGGTAAGTACCTATACTATCAATCGTTGCTACTGCACTGCGCCACTCGCGCTCATTTTCACCATTTCCCGTCGGAGGTCTCAAAATGAAGATCAGGCCGCCAGTCAGGGAAAAAGGAGCTATGTATCCATCAGCGTTCAGACACAAATCAGAAACTTTCGCTTACCTCGCTTAATGTGCTTCTAGCGGTGCTTCTTGTACTCTCATAAGTGCATTGTTCACTTTGCTTGTTCGCCCACGGTTTCCGTATGTTACGCATTTTCTTTTATTTTTTTATTTGCTTCATAATTCTCGCATGTTGTACCTCTTCTGTACAGATTTGACCGCCTGAAGAATTTGGTTGTATAGTGGTTTTCTAGTCCTCCTCTTTCGTCCTCTCTTTTGTAGCAATATTCTTATAGTCAGGGTGTGATTATATTATGAGAACGTGTATCTGTTTGTGTTATAATGATTGTGATAAATGAAAAAGCTTCAAGCCTATGTAAAAAACGACTGTTTCGATCGCATTATAAAGACGTCCTATCTGGGATCGAGGTTCCTTAACCGCTTTCGGGATAAGCCACGCATCTTAGTCCACACTGATTTTTTTCCCAAAAGTGCGAATCAGCTTCAGCAGTATCAGCTGGTATATAGTGATGACTCTGGTTTTGGTCTCACAGACGTTGTGAAGGGCGAGAAGGTTGGTGAGAATGGGTAATGTCGTTTCAGGCGGTCATCCGGGGTATGGTCAGGGTTTGCTCGCGTAGCGAACTTCTCATGCTCTTCTTTTTCCTAGATGAGACTTACCTCCGGGAAACTGTGTCCATGCTGTCTTAATGGGGTGTGGGTTAGGAGATACCACAGCTAGCCATAACCCATTAGCCAAACGGGGTCCCTGGCACGTTTATCATGAACGTGAATGGCGCGGTGACCTAGTAGCAGAGCAGTGACCGGCGCCTTCTGACTCATGGTTGTCTTTCGCGAGTGATCGAAAAATGGAATGTACATTAATAATTCCCCGGGTTCCTTCGCATTGAAGGTACTTACCTCGAGTGTGAAAGGGAATTGAAATAAGTGTTTACCTCAACTTAATATATTTTTAATTGACGAAAATGGAGGGTGCCGCAGATCGTGTGATCCGTTTTGCTCCGAAAAGATCCTAGTTCTAAAACTATTTGCAAAATTCGCGTTGAATAGGCATTTCTCCTTTGCTTTTGGGGCGTGGCTTAAATTTAATTCCACTATACTGTATCGAAACTAACAGGTGGCGGCCTAAACATGAGTTCTAATTTTTAAGCTTTCGTATCAATGGCGCTAGCATGGGCTATAGTTTCCGCTTTTTCAGTGAGAAACGATGGGAGACGACGTTACGGAACGGTTTACACTCACTCATCGTTGGAAACTGATCCTATTAGGTTTTGCTATTAGTGAGTGAGTACTAAGCGACAGCTGTGCCTCATTCCTCTACAACTTCTGCTCCTTGTAATAACACCACGAAAAGATTGCCGATGTTAAAAAAGTCAGTCAACAGCTGTCCAAAAGTATTTCTGAAAGGCGATCGAAAAAACATAAACAGAACCACGCAAAAGAGTAAAATCACTTGGTCGAAATGGCACCGCATTCCGAGGAAATAAGGGGTAGACCGATAAACTCGGTTTTTGGCCGATCGCGAGGAATTTATGCAGCTGAAAGCCCATAGTTATGCCCATTCTCTCCGTAGAAATGGCTTCTTTACAGCCATCGGTCCATTCACCCAAATCCTGATTGCAGTTTGAATAGTAGCCATGGCAAGGAAAGCTTATTACGAGCCCTGGTATGGATTCGACAACTCTGTAATTACCGACATTCCCTCTTAAGATTCAATATTCATTTAGCATTTAGCACAGAAACCCCTCCCATCACCTTAGGCTCCGCCCACAGGCCCTAATTGGGTGCACCGAACCAACTCCACCCAAGCAACGAGCTGGGTGAAATTTAAGGCCACAGACTTTTCTAGCGTTTCTTTTCTAATCGCACTGCCTCAGAGGTACATGCGAAAATACCTTCATACTAATTTGAATCTGATTAAATTTGAGTTTTCAAATTTTGCTTGGCCATTTTCGAGCAGGAGCTTCCCTGAAAGGCCCGAAAACCTTTCCAATACCCACTCGGTCCTTTTGCAACAACGTTCCCATGTTTGGTTGTTTTGCCCCTTCAGAAGGCTTGAACTGCTCTTCTACCTGCAGAACTAGTTTGTAATGCAAATATTAGATGACAAATCTTTTTTTTAGCACCAACAGAGGAGACTGCGTTTGGGGTCTATCCTTCTGGAGAGCAAATTCGTATCCTCCTGGGAAAAGTACGTACAACAACGGTCACTCTTCCATCGCTCTTCTTTTCCTTAGGACCCTTTTAAAAAGAGCATGTAGGAATCTCCCGTCTTCGTGTAATTTGTCAGACAACATTTTTCGGATAGATTAATGTCAGCTACAATTCTGTCAGCCTCGTGCCTCTATCTCGTGCCAGTGTTGGACATTCATTTCGCTGAACATCGCTCTCATTCCTACCATTCACCAGCGATTTCTAATAATTTTTTCTGAAGTTAATTCCTACGAATTATCCAGCCGTTGTGCTCCACCCAAAGTGCTAGTAGCCATCAGTCACGCAACGTCCCCCTGAACGTTCTAAAGCTAACGGAGGATTTTCAAGGTCACTTTTCGTAGTTCTTCTTTGTCTGTCCTGGTAAAATCGAGCCTTTTTAGTAAAATTGGCCTTCGATAAGTCTCTGACTACTCTATTATTTTGTACTCTGCGTTTCTTAAATATAGGTATGGTCATGCCGCAGACGTTTTTTGCTTGAGCTCTGTCTTGCTCTTTTTCATGTACTCATATTTTGGCAAGTATGATGGCAATGGCAGAGGTGATGCAGTGGCAAATGGCGCATTATCACACATCAATGGTCGCGGGTTTGAATCCCTCGACTGATGTCCACCCAGTCCAACCAAGCCTTCCAATCATGCCGGGTTGGTTAATTGGAAGCGGACTCGTCTGGGAGGATAACAGTACTGACTTGTACATCGCTGACCACCAGAAATCATTGTATAGGCCACATACGCATACAATACGCCACTACGATTCTGAATGGGAGTCGAATGCGGTTCGCATCCCTCAGACGAGATTGATTAACACTATAACCCTTATCTTTCTCCTTTAAAGTGACCACGGTAGAAGACGTGGCTATGGACGAGGCTATGGCTGAAGTGCGGACCATCACTTAGCTTGTAGGGACCAATTTATTGGTCCCTACAAGCTAAGTGAGTGTAGGATTCAATCANACATACGCATACAATACGCCACTACGATTCTGAATGGGAGTCGAATGCGGTTCGCATCCCTCAGACGAGATTGATTAATACCAAAACCTTTATCTTTCTCCCTTAAAAGCTATGGCTGAAGTGCGGACCATCACTTAGCTTGTAGGGACCAATTTATTGGTCCCTACAAGCTAAGTGAGTGTAGGATTCAATCAAATACTGGCAGTCCATTTAATCAAGGAGGAGTGCAAGCGGTAAGGAGGTCGCGGCTGGTTCCGGACGTCACGTCACGCGGCAGAACAACTAGTTCAGAAACCTTCAGGGCGCTGTGGACGGATCGTGACTACCACGTAAACATGGTCTGAGTGAGGCCCTAAACAAACAAAAAAAAACAATTTGAAAACCTTATTACCACTTTTAGTTGGAACAACATCACGGTTCAGTTGTTTACTAGACACGAAGAAACAGAAGGAAAAAAAAATCCGAGAAAATATCTGAAACTTTTGAGTGAATAGGTGCTCCTCTGGCTGAATTGATGTTTGGACTCGAAGCTGAACAGTTCTTAAGTGGGGAAGGCAACAGTCTCACCATAAATCTCAGATGTCGCTAACAACTGCAAACCGTGTAGTAAAGAACTGAATGTATCGTTGTCGGTCGATAGACCCCAGCGAGGAGCACACGCCTCCTTCCACATTTGACGATCTTGAGCGGTTTGGGACCAGCGTAACCCAAGTGAGTCACTCCATCTCGTTGCAGGACGGCCAAGTGCTAGGAAACTATAAGGCTTCGAAAAAAGTGGTATGATCAGGAGTTGGACGAAAGTGCGACGACAAAAGTTGCATGGAACGGGTATTTGGACGAGCTGTCTAAATGTGTGTGCAATTTCGTACGACTGACTGCAGTGAGCTGCCTGCATGCAAGGTGTAGGTCCCGGTGCGAATGGTCCAACCTCTACAACATTTACAATTCTTAACAACTCGTCCGCCTTCGGTATGTACGTTGGCTTAGACGGTTTGAGGGTCCTTATTACGTCTCGTCATTGTCTTAGCAGTTTCTCGACCCAACAACGTCCCTTGAAATATCTTTAGGGAACACAGATTCATCCGCCGGAAGAATCAGAGGAAAATATCAGAATTCTATGGTGCGAACTGTTCCTTTAGGGAAAATGTGAAACGCATTTTTTTATACTTTTGGTAAAGCAGTTATTTATAAGCGCTTTGCTCAGGGAGCTCCTTCCACCCATGTATTTCTCATATCATATGTATTATCGAAGAGTAGACGGGAAAGTCATTAAGTAGCTAACTGATGTAAGGCGCCAGGACAGTGCTGACCACCTGGGAGTAACTTCCCTTGGAAATCGCCCCTTGCCTTGGCAGGCGGCGCTGGGTAACCTCCCGTTGAAGAGGTTCTTGTCCTTGAAACTGGGTGGCGCATTTATAAGCTTCTTCTAGGGTCTTTTAG